CAAGTATTTGGGCTCCTGCTGTCCATATGGAAGACCTGGATGGAGCTCCAGGCTTCAACCTAGCCCAGCCCTGGACATTGCAACCCTTTGGGGGATGAAGCGGCTGCCAGAAGACCTCTGTCTCTCTCCCTCTAATTCTGCCTTTCAAATAAATACAACTTTAAAAAAGAAAACAATAGCTTTAATAGTGACTTTGCTTTTATAAACTCTATTATTCATTTAACAGAAGTTGCTGAATGCCTCTACTGTGCTGGAACCTGCTGGAGTAATTTCCTTAGGCATGTAGTGTACCTTCTCCTTCACTGCTTTAAGGAACTGTCAGTCATTTATGTCCCCTAAATGATTTCTTAGAACTTAAAGGATAAAAGGGACAGTAGTCGCCATATATAGAACCACAATGAATTGTATCTGGTAAAAATGGTTATTGTCCTTATTGTCCCCTTGGGGTAAAGGCTCCCTCTCCTTTCCTTGGCTGTTTGGGGGAATCTAAGTTAGAGACTCTTCAGTTGTAAATTTCTTCTTCCAGATTTTACCAGAGGAGCTTATCTTAATCTTCTGTTTCGCCATAGTCTAGAAACGGTTAATGGTCTGAGCAAGGGGGAGGTGGAGATGGATTGCGGCCCTTTTTGGCCAGGTTTGGACATTATAGTTTTCTTTCAAAGTATAGCTCTTCATGAGGATTTTACAGGCTGATTCTCAGAATTTGTGTACCTGGAACATTGCTGCACTTAACTCCATTCTGCTGTGCTGCTAAAGAGCTTGTTGAGGCTGGGAGTAAGACGGATGTGCGTTTTCAAAGACCTAAATGGTAGACTGCGACCAGAGGTAGAGCCAAGGAGAGCTGGCATTCCTTTGGAATTATTTCTTGTAGGGGCAAGGACCTGTCCAGAAAGTTACTTGGCTTTCCCTAGGTTGATTTCCACACAAGCTGCACCCTTCTTCCTCCATCCCTCCCCACCATGTTCAGGAATGCCCTGTATAAGCATCTGGGATGCTACGGGACCAAAACAGTCAGGACTGAGCCCACGGAAAACTGTGTGGCTCAACAGATTGTTAGTCTTGAAGGAACTGTTTACCTGCGGTTTCCATTGAGAAATAAATGGCTTTGAAGCATTAGAATCAAATTCTGTGTAAGGTGCTATCCTTTTTGTTTGCTTCCTTAGTAGAAGATCGTGTATAACTGGTCCCTCCCAGTTCCTAGTACAGGATGTCACCTGCCTTTTGTTGTGGTGCTGCATCCTTTGTAATCATTTGTTGAGTTCCTTTTTCAGGATGAAATATGAGGATACTACTGAAGTTTGTGGGAAATGGAATTAAAAGATAAGTTTATTGTAATGCAAAGTTTTTGAAATCCGTGTATAAGGGGTCTTCAGGAAGTTCATAGAAGCTTTATTCTTCAGGGCCAGCGCTCTGGTGTAGTGGGTGAAGCTGATGCCTGTGGTGCCAGCATCCTTTATGGGCATTGGTTCAAGTCCCGGCTGCTCCACTTCCAATCCAGCTCTCTGCTATGGCTTGGCAAAGCAGTTGAAGATGGCTCAAGCACTTGGGTGCCTGCACCCACATGGGAGACCTGGAAGAAGTTCCTGGCTCCTAGCTTCGGATCAGCTCAGTTCTGGCCGTTACAGCCATTTGGGGAGTGAACCGGTGGATGGAAGATACCTCCCTCTCTCTCCCTCCCTCCCTCCCTCCTTCTCTTCCTCTCTCTCTAACTCTGGCTTTCAAATAAAATAAATCAAAAAAAATTCTGCAAAAGTTATGCCTGGATTTCAAAAAAATTAGCTTTTGATTCCATTTTCCTGCAGACTTCTTGAAGTGCCCTCTTGATCTGGACCTTTAGTAAAGTCAAAGTCACTGCTGCGAGACAGTCACTGTTTCAACTTCTTAGTTGTTTGTAGAACAGTAGAATCCAAGGAGAGAAGCGACCTGAAGCGCTGGTAGTTCGGAAGTTAAAAGTAGTTGTTTCCTAGAGTTCTTTCATTGTTTGGCTGTATTAAATAGAACATGGCTTATTTTTCAAGCTGGTTTCAAGATGAAAATATATTAAAAACATATTTTGGTTTTTCTCTCAATCAGTATTGATTTCCTGATGAACAAGTGTTTTATTTATTATTTACAAAATATTCACTTAATTTCAAAGTGAAATTTTAAAGTTACTGGGAAAACTGCCGTGTTGCAAGGCTACCCCTGACTGCAGTTCCCGCACTGGGGCTGACGCAGGGGGCCTCACTGCCGCCCGCGCGCTCTCAGGCCAGAGCGCTGCGGCCACCAGCAGTCACTCAGCGTGGCAGTCAGCTTTCCGTGTGGTTTTTGTTTGTTTGATTTTATTACTGTTTACTGTCCTGTGTTTTCCCTTTCCACTTTTACTGACTTGCTTTATTCCTCATTGCTTTCGGACACCTCTCTCTCCCCTGCCTTTTTAAATTGCTTTCTTCTGGCCATTTCTCTGCTTTAACCTTTCCCATTTTGGTCTCTGCACAGCCTGTTCCTTGTTTACACTCTAGTGGTTGCAGCTTCTGAGCAAAGCAGAATGCTTCCGCCATGCTCTGTGTGTAAAGCCTGATTTTACTGCTGTCATACAAAACTAAACTTACGTGGCTGTTGGGCTGTTATTTACAGTTTATTTCTCTCTCTGCTGCACTGGTTAAAAGGACACTGTCAAGGTATTTTTTTTCATAATTTTTCAAATCATTTTCCTCACTGTTTACAATAACCCATTAAAAGCGTGACACTCCAGTCTTTTCCTTTCGAAGACCCTCTCCATCCTGCATTCACACTGGTCTGTTGTTGTACAGTTGCGCCTGTATGTTGGGCTGGTGCCATTTGCGGTTATGTCATTGGAAGCGCATGTAAAACATCAGGTTTTTTGTCGGGGGGAGGGTGTGGGTGGACTAAAGGAGAAAGTGTAAGAATCAAGTGGGCAGCTGGGCAAACAGAGGGAAGAAACAAAAGGTCAAATTTGGTCCCTCTAACCTTGACAGTGTCCCTTTAAATATTTCTCTACCACACACCCTGGACCCCAGTGACTGAGCCTGAGTGCTGTGTCCTTTTTCAGTATGAACTCCCCTATGTGACTGTCACCTACGGAGATTGAAGCTTGTCTGAAGCAGGCCATCCAGTTGGCCTGGAGGAGCTTTAATCCGCCCCCTTGCACTCTCGCGTTGGCACAGTCTTCCCCGCGGCAGAGGCATGTGGTGCGTCCTCTCACAGGCGTTGAGCAGCCACCCCTTAGGGTGGTACCTTTGTGTACTCTAGGAAGAGCATCTGTGATCAGTTAAGATCTCATAACTTTGTAGACTTGATGATACCTGTGGAAAGGAGAACCAGCTTCAGACATCTAGACATGGTAGACATCTAGCATTGTAGGAGTCGCGTTAGAAATAGTAAGTTTCTGAGCAGAATTTCATTGAGTTGCTCTGTGCATGACCATACTCACTCTCATTGAGGAAAAATACTGATTAGAAGGGAAACAAAGTTCCTGATAAGAGCATCTCTTTACCAGCTTCTAAAGCTGTATGATCAAAACAAGTAGGGATGTCACCAGGAGCTCTCTTTCTGGCTATGGAGGTGAATGGATAGATATTTTTTAATTTACTAAGTAATATACCTCTTTGATGTGCCAAGCCTCAAGAGCCTGATTCTTTGCCTCATTTCTCAACACAAACCAGAAGAGATTTAGATTTTTTTTTCTTTTTAGGCTGAGAGTGTGTGTCTGATTCACAGATACTGGGATGTTGCCAATATTTAGCCTTCTAGAACTTGATGCTTTGTGTATGGTGTTTATTAGAGCAATTGTGTCTCACTGAAGTTCAAAAGAAGAGGTGCATTCCTTCTCCATTTCTTGTTTGAGCTCATTGTACTTCTTGCCAGAATCTTTGTGCCACATAGTGGCTCATCGGTGGAGTTCGTTGTGTGATCAGTGAAGGGACAGAGGCTAAGGCTTTGAAATCTTCTGTTTAGTTGAACTGGACAAAAACCAAGGTGTTTTGAGAGGTGGAATCTTACTGTGATGGTCTTGACAACAGTTTCCTCTGATTGTAAAAGATCATTCTGCGATCACTTAACTAGAACTTCAGTGTTTTGTTTCTGGTTGCTGATTTTCAGTTGACTATAAAAGGAGATTCCAAAAGTTTTGAACCCACTTCCCAGTTGGTACTCAACTTAGAGCAAGAGATGTTTGCCTTGGACATGCGTGTTCCTTTTCTCATGCTGGCCATGAGCTCAGTGGTAGAATACAGATATAGGTTACTTTGGTACAGCATTACGCAGTAGCAGAGGGACGTGTGTCACCTCACTGATGGTGTCAGTGGAGGGGCACAGCATGGCCTAGAGGCCTGGTCTGTGATCTGTTCACCTCACCTACAGCAGTGAGTAGCCAAAACTGAAGAGCACCTCAGTTACTGAGTCTAAGAGCCTTGGACATTGAACTCTGAACTTCCTGCTGCCATTGAAGTATTACCCTGCAGAAGACTGTAAGGGTACTAGTGCATTTTTTAGCAGCCATGGATTTCACTACTTCTCTACTCTGACCTGAAATTCTGTCATCTTTGGAGGGGAAGCAGGTATCTTGGGCTGCTTCTTTTTCCCACTTTACACTGATTCTGGAATGTCCTCAGGTGTGTTGACACAGTGTGTGTTCTCTGGACTTCTCTAGTGTGGTGTTTGCATGTCAGCCCAGCTCAATTCAGTGCATGTCAGCTCCGTGCACTTTGTGCTCCATGTGATTTCAGTTAGCTCCAGTCTAACCCTTGTGACTGTTAATGCAGGTAGGAGGCCCAGCTTGGGGGCAGAAGTGGGAGAAGAGGGGAGTATTTCGGTCAAAACATTTCATGTCTCATTTAAATGGAATTGACCACTTCATAGAAAAGAAAATTCAAATCATTGTCCTCAAAGGTAAAACCTTTGAGGTACATATTTGACATTTTTAACTGTAGGGTTTTGTGTTTTCGTGGCTGGTTGTCTAGTCTTATAAGGACCAACTCTGCTATACTTTGAATTTTCAGGTTCCTAAAGAGAAGGATGAAATGGTAGAACAAGAGTTTAACCGGCTGCTAGAAGCTACATCTTACCTAAGTCATCAGCTAGACTTCAATGTCCTCAATAATAAGCCTGTGTCCCTTGGCCAGGCTCTGGAAGTTGTCATTCAGTAAGTACTGTGATACTGCTTTATTGAATAGTGAACTCCGTCTTGGTTTGCTATTTATGTTTTAAGTTTTTAGAAAGTCTCATTTAGCTAGTTAAAATGTGAACTCCCAGAGTAAAAAGGCATTTAAAACAATTACATGACCCTTAAGGCCTTTTGAATTCTAAAATTCACCACCTTTATGATATTGTGCAGTGTTTAATGTAGCCTGGATAATAACTTCCCATCAGTCAGCTTTCTTGTTCCCAAGAGCCTTGATGCCTTTGATTGTTATTTTTATATGTGATAGAGGGAGAGTGTGTGCTTCCATCTGCCAACTCTGTCCTCAAGGCCAGGGCCAGAGCCAAGAGGCAGAAACACAGTCCAGGTCCCTTGTGTGGGTGGCGGGCACCCAGTTACTTGAACTCTCACTTCTGCCTCCCAGGGTGCATTAGCAGGAAGCCGGAGTCCTAAAGACCAACTCCCCTGTGTGTGTTTTCAGTGGGTATCTGTCTTGTGCTGCAGAACCAACTGTGTGGCCAGGGCATACACGTTGTCTCTCTTAGGTTACAAGAAAAACATGTCAAAGATGAGCAGATTGAACATTGGAAGAAGATAGTGAAGACTCAGGAAGAATTGAAAGAACTTCTTAATAAGGTGAAATTCTCTTTTCTTTATAGCTGAATAAGCTGCAATGGAGGGGAAAGCCTTTGATTTAGAAAATGTAAAAGCCTTTCAGGGATTTTTGCTGCATGGAAGAGAAGGTCTGCCTAAGTGGGACTCCATCATTAATAAGAAAATAGAGTGGCCAGAGCCTCTTTGGTGTCACGGTTGACAAATTATTGCTAGGGGAAATAGAGCCTTCCTTCCACACGTCACGTCCCTGTGACTCTTCCGAAGCCGCTGGCACCCTCTGGCTGGATTCTAGGAGGAGAAGGACATGAGCTATGCTGGGCCAGGCGCTCACTGACGAAGGCCAGCACATCAGCCCCCAGTTCATGGCCACGGTTACTGGGGTTAAAGTATCGCCATCCTCAGCCGAGCCCTTCACTGGCTCTGGTTGGCTCAGTGTAGCCGTTTGTTTCTCCTCATCTTGCCCATTGCATTCATCACGTGGCTCGCAGAGAAAATGGCCCCTTGTGCTGGAGACAGAGCTTTCTGGTGCCAGCTCGGGGGCACCTTGCTCCTGGAGTCTCACTTCATTCTCGCTGGCCCTGAGCTCGCCTTCCTGGCCTGTGCGTAGGACGGAGTGAGGAGAGTGGCTTGAGAACTGCTGGCTAGTGGCGTATTTGGGGGCACAGTATCAAGGTTTTTGGTGTTTGGTTTTGTAAAGTTTGTTTTTAAGGTTTGTTTTATATACTTGAAAGGCAGAGCAGGGGCTGGCACTGTGGTACAAGTTAAGCCACTGCCTGCAGCACTGCCATCCATATGGGCGCCAGTTCAAGTACTGCCTGTTCCACTTCCAATCTAGCACCCTGCTAATAGTGCCTGGGAAAGCAACAGAAAACGGCCCAGGTCTCTGGGCCCCTAGAAGAAGCTCTTGGCTCCTGGCTTGGTCTGGCCCAGTCCGTCATTGCAGCCATTTGGGAAGTGAACCAGTGGATGGAAGATTTCTCTCTAACTCTGACTTTCAAATAAATGAATCTTATTTATTTATTTTCTTAAAGCAGAATGACATGGGTAGGGAGTGGGAAGGTAACAAAGATCTCCCATCTGCTGGGTCACTCTCTGAGTACCTGCAGTAGCTGGGCCTAGGCCAGGCAAGGAGCCTGGAACTTCATCTGGGGCTCCAACGGGTGGCAGGGGCCAAAAGTACTCTGGCCCTCCTCTGCTGCCTTCCCAGGCACACAGTAAGGAGCTGGATGGGAAGCGCACAGCCAGGACTTGAACTGAACTGGTACTCTGATGTGGGTTGCCAGTGTTGGCTGGTAGCAGCTTAACCTGCTGTGCCTCCAGTCTCAGGTTTTATGTCGCTGTTCCTGTGCAATACTATCAGAAGCCAAAAAAACGGACATTAGAAATGGTTCCTTGGGGCCAGCATTGTGGCATAGAGGGTAAAGCTGCAGCCTGCATCGCCTGCATCCCATATGGGCGCCAGTTCCAGACCCGGCTGCTCCACTTCTGATCCAGCTCCCTGCTAACGTGCCTGGGAAAGCAGCAGAGGATGACCCAAGTGCTGCAACCCATGTGGGAGACCCAAAGAAGCTCCTGGTTCCTGGCTTAGGACTATCCCAGCTCTGGCCATTGCAGCCATTTGGGGAGTGAACTAGTGGATGGAAGATTTCTGTCTTTCCCTCTCTGACTCTGCCTTTCAATGATAAATACATCAATAAAGATGAAAAAGAAAGGAAAATGGTTCCTTGAGGTTCCTCATGTGATGTGATCTTTTACTACTTAAAAAACAAATTATGACAATTTATTTCCCAAAGTAATTTTAAGTTAAATTGGTGATAGTTTGTTGTTCCTGGAAATTAAATTTATTTCAATACCTTTAAAAAATTAAAGAAGATACTACTTGTCCTCTCATTTATTTTGGAAGGCCAAGAGAGTCATAACTTATCTGATGGTATTGTGATACCCTGGAGGTATTTTTCCTTTAATTTCTAAATGGCTTGCAGAGTAGAACAAGTATTTAAGAATTCCAAGGACCTTATACTTTGGAACTTTTGATGTGCTAGCAGTTCAGAGGAGGGACCAAAACCAAGGGGACATGTGATTTGGGGGTGAATTGCATGGGTATCTAGAATGGTGAATTTTTACTTTTCTCTTTTAGATGGTAAATTTGAAAGAGAAAATTAAAGAACTCCATCAGCAGTACAAAGAAGCAGCTGAAGTGAAGCCACCCAGAGACATTACTGCCGAGTTCTTGGTGAAAAGCAAGCACAGGGATCTGACTGCTCTCTGCAAGGTGTGGGGTACATGCCTGCTTCCCGTAGTCTCTTGGAGTCCTAAGAAACAGAACAGATGTGGGGGAACTGTGGAAGCGAGAGAGCCAGTAGCCAGTCACGAGTGCACCTGGAGTGCACAAGAGGGTTTGCTGCAAGGAAGCGTGGGAGCTCAGCGGATTCCTTTGGGTTGAAATGGCTTTTCCTGCAGAGCTCTGAGCCTCTCATAACGTCGTAACAGTCTGCATCATTTCACCTTACCTAAATTTCAGTTTAGTTGTTGCTTAGTTTACCCTTCGTATTTTAGAATAATAGTGATGGGCAAAAACACTGGAGTGAAATTTTGTGGATTGAATCCCGAAGCTGGTATCTCAGCCATGTGACCGTGGGGTCCTTCATCACGTCAGCTGTAAAGCAGTAACACTCCACTCGTGGGGTATGCATGAAGCTTGAATGAACTCCTGCATCTCAAGTGTTTCTGCCAGTGCCGTTGATAGGGTCAACACTCAGGAAGCAGTAGTTGCTGTCATTTTTCATCCGTACTTTGGAACATGCTAGTATATTTCTTCCTTTATTTTTCTCTTTCATGTTTCCCCCTCTTGCTCCAATCTTATCTCAGACACACAGTTGTAACTTGTTTCTGAGAACCAAACTCTAAGCTCTGACCCCACCCTTAAATTGAGTCAAACTTCCCGTCCATTACCTGAGCCCGAAGGAGGTATCCCAGACCGTAGACTTGTGTAGCAATAAGCAGGGTGGATACCTGGCCCTTCAGGATCAATCAGATTCACTTAATTTTATCAGGAATATGATGAATTGGCTGAAACTCAAGGAAAGCTAGAAGAGAAACTTCAAGAATTGGAAGCTAATCCTCCAAGGTAGGAGAAGACACACAGCCATTGAGAGGGATTGTTTTTACTGTTCTTTCTGTGTTAGATTTAAAGTGAAAATTGCAAAGCACAGTGAACTATGTATGTTCAGTGAGTGGATTTTAAGTTGTTCAATACATGAAATATATCTGAGAACATTTGACGACCTGCCAGGGTTCTGAGTCCCCCACTCTTAGGTCAGAGTGAAACTGGGGAGCTAGTCTGCTTTCTGTCCACTGGAGTTGGATCGTGACTGTTGGTGCTCTGTGATGTGAGCATGTCCACCTCCACAGATAGCTACTGTGTGCTATAGAATCCATGTGCTGTTTAAAATAGAAGACAAAGCTCTTGTAATATAAGGTGACTTCAAATTAAGAGTTTTTTTTTTCAGACAAATGTGGCCCCATTGTCATTTGCTTTCTAAGGTGAGTTTCCCACTGCTCTAGGCACCAAGGATAAAGCAGTTAATGAGACAGAAAAAGCCCTAGTATTTTTTAAAAAGATTTATTTATTTGTAAGTCAGAATTACAGAGAGAGGGAGAGAGAGCAGCCAAGGCTGAGCCAGGAGCTTCATCCGGGTCCCTGAAGTGGGAAGCAGTAGCCCATGTACTCGGGCCATCTTCTGCTTATCCAGGCACATTAGCAGGAAGCTGGATCAGAACTGGAGCTGCCAACTCTAGAAACCAGCGCCCACATAGGATGCCAGCGTTGCAGATGGTGGTGTTTTGTTTTGTTTTGACAGAGTGGACAGTGAGAGAGAGAGACAGAGAGAAAGGTCTTCCTTTTGCCGTTGGTTCACCCTCTAATGGCCGCCTCGGCTGGCACGCTGCAGCTGGCGCACCGCGCTGATCCGAAGGCAGGAGCCAGGTGCTTTTCCTGGTCTCCCATGGGGTGCAGGGCCCAAGCACTTGGGCCATCCTCCACTGCACTCCCTGGCCACAGCAGAGAGCTGGCCTGGAAGAGGGGCAACCGGGACAGACTCTGGCGCCCCGACCAGGACTAGAACCCGGTGTGCTGGCGCCAGAGGCGGAGGATTAGCCTAGTGAGCCGCGGCGCCGGCCCGCAGATGGTGGTTTAACCCACTGCACCACAGCGCCTGCCCTCAGCTTCTAATTTCTGTGCTTGCCCCACTGTCCCTGGCTCAGATTGCAACCTAATCCATTGGCATCAGCTGTGCCCACTGTTTGACAAGAGTCGGAGTGTCTTTATTAACAACCCTGTGCTCCCCTGTTCTTCTTTTGCAGTGATGTATATCTCTCATCAAGAGACAGACAAATACTTGATTGGCACTTTGCAAACCTTGAATTTGCTAATGCCACACCGCTGTCTACCCTCTCCCTTAAACATTGGGATCAGGTAAATTCCTCATCACTCACTTGCTGCGTGTGTCTTTGAGAGGGCTCTGAGGACGAGCTCTGTCATGTGTAAATATGTGTGTTTTGAAACAGCGCTCTGGGCAATACCAGTTCTGCACAGCTGAAATTCACACATTTTAAGTGAACAGTTAGATGATTTGCTCAACAGACTTAGTCACACCACAGTGAAGATCGGATACAAAAGTCTTCAGAAATTCAAGGGAAATGTATATTATGAAAAACTATGCCTGAATTTCAAAATGAAATTTTGAACCAAAATGAACTTTGTTCTTTTTTTAAAAAAAGATTTAATTATTATTTGTAAGGCAGAGTTACAGAGAGGCAGAGACAGAGGTCTTCCATCTGCTGGTTCGCACCCCACACGACTGCAACGGAGCTAAGCCAATCCGAAGCCAGGAGCCAGGAGCTTCTTCCAGGTTGCCCATGAGGGTGCAGGGTCCCAAGCACTTGAGCCATCTTCCACTGCTGTCCCAGGCCACAGCAGAGAGCTGGATCAGAAGTGGAGCAGCTGGGACTTGAACCGGTGCCCATATGGGACGCTGGCACTGCAGATGGCAACTTTACCCACTACACCACAGCACAGGCCCCCAAAATGAACTTTTATTTTTCACAAACTTTCTGAAGTACCTTCATAGAGCATTTTCATCATTCTGGAAAGTTGTCTCCTGCCCCCTTGGAATTAATCCTCCATGCGCCTGCTCCTGGTCTCAGGCAACCACTGATTTGCTTTCTGTCACTAGCATTTTAGCATTTTCCTTAGGTACCACTTCATGGATTGAATCATATAGTTCACCTTTATATGTATGACTTCCTTCACTTAGCATGAAATTGTTTTGTTTCTGTTTTTTTCAAAGATGCATTTATTTATTGAAATGTAGAGTGACAGAGATCCTTCATCCATTGGTTTGCTCCCCAAATACACTGCAACGGCTAGGGCTGGGCCTGGAGCCAGGAACCAGGAACTCTCTGGGTTTCCCGTGTGGGTGGCAGGAACTCAAGTACTTGAGCCATCATCTACTGCCTCCCAGTTGCATAAGTAGGGAGCTGGATCAGAAGCAGATAACCAGGACTCGAGCCTGTACTTGGATATGGGACCGTTAACTTGTGTGCCATAATGCATCCCCCAGCTTTCTGGTTTTTGTGTCCCGAAGTGTACTTTTCTGTATCCTCTTACCTGAGGTCACAGAAGATTTTCTGTTTTCTTCCCAGGTGTTTTGTGGGTTTAGCGCCTATAGTTAGGTCTGTAATCCATCTTGAGTTAATTTTCGGGTACAGTGAGAGATAAGACTAGGGCTTCTGTTTTTCTACACAGTTATCTCATTATACCAGCACTATCATTTCATCATCTGTCTTGGCCCTGTAAAAGTGAGCCTGTGGGGCCCGACACTGTGGCGCAGTGGGTTAAAGCCCTGGCCTGCAGTGCCGGCATCCCATATGGGCGCTAATTCGAGTCCCGACTGCTCCACTTCCGATCCAGCTCTCTGTTATGGCCTGGGAAAGCAGTGGAAGATGGCCCAAGTCCTTGGGCCCCTGTACCCACGTGGGAGACCCAGAAGACGCTCCTGGCTCCTGGCTTTGGATTGGCTCAGCTCTGGCCATTTTAGCATTTGGGGAGTGAAGCAGCGGTTGAAGAGACACACACACACACACTCTCTCTCTCTCTCTCTCTGGCTCTATGTCTCCCTGTAACTCTTTCAAATACATAAAATAAATCTTAAAAAAAAAAAAAAAAGGGTAAGCCTATGGATGGCCGCTCTTTCCTTCTGTGCATGGAGTGGTCTCCCCACCTGCCAGGACCACACAGCCCTGATTACTGAGTGTAAATTCTCCAACTTTGTTCTTTTTTGAGGTTGTTTTGGCTATTTTAGGTCTTCTATATTTCCATACAAATTTTAGGATCGGCTTGTTACTTTTCCCAAAATACAATCTTTTGGGCTTTTCATGAAGAATGCATCCAATTTCTCAGTCAGTTTGAAGGGAACTATCATCCTAACACCAAGTCTTCTCACCCTTGGGTATGGTCAGTCCCTCCGTTTATTCAGGTTTTCTTCATCTCAGCAATGTTTCACAGCTCTCAGTGCGCTGAGAGTTATGATTTGTTTGAAGTGCTATTTACTGTGGAACTGGTGAAAGTCACAGGACTTCTTGGGTATTGAATGGGCCAATCTGTGAAATCTGAGACTTTGGCCAGATTTAAGATTACGCAGAAGTGAGTGTTACAGTTTCACTCATGTGTTTTACATGAGGGAGCTGATGAGTTGCCATGAAGTAGGACATTTTGCTGCCAGACCAATGCTTTTCTCTAAGTCCTAAAAATTATGATATGTTTTCCCCCAGAAATTCATGAAATTGTAACTACTGGCCTTCCAAGAGAGTTTCCCGATGTAGAAAGTTTAACAGTGAATTCAAAGAAATTAGATCATTTGGGTTTCTCAGCTTTAAGGCCAAATCTCGCCTTCCTCACTATTTGGAATATCTCAGGCCACTCTGCTGTCTTCGGTTGCCTTTTTCTGGTTTGCCGACTTTCATTTTGGGCCATCTCAACTTCAGAACTGTTAGGTTAAAGGAATAATTGAATTTACTCTGAAGTAGAAGAAAGTGTAATCCGGATGGAGAATCTGATATCATGTAAACCTGTGATGCTTTCTTTATTTTTTAAGCCAAAGAGATAATTTTTGTGATACCTGATTGTCCTGGGTCGTAAGCTCCCCGCCAAGGAAGGCTTGGATGCGGCAGAAGGGACTGTGAAAACGAGACCTCGGGGCGGGGCCTGCCTTCATCTCACTGCCAGGGCGGAGGGACTTGTTGGTGTGCTTTCTTTTTACTTCAGTTTCCTTGGGCAGCTGTAGCTGAGTTCTGATGATTGTTCTTTAGTTTCTGTCTTCAGCCATTGACTTTCCACAAGCATTGTTTCTCAGTGTTACACAGAACTCTGTGCATGGTGTGGGTTGTGTCCGACAACGTGGGAACGTGTCCTTTCCTCTCCTCTAGGATGATGACTTTGAGTTTACTGGCAGCCACCTGACAGTGAGGAACGGCTACTCCTGCGTGCCCGTGGCGTTAGCAGAAGGCCTGGACATCAAACTGAATACAGCCGTGCGCCAGGTCCGCTACACAGCTTCAGGTATGTTACTGTCCCCAGGGGCGGCAGAGCCCCCCCCCCCCCCCCCCAACAGGCCATTTCCCGAGGGCACGCAGACTCAGGCGCTGTTTGGCATTAGAGGGGACAGACCTTTGGCGGTCTAGCAGCCTCATTTCGTAAACTGGACAGTTGAGACAAGCTGTGATAGTTCCCAGCTTGCATGCAGATGGCTTTGGTGTTGTGGTCACAGCCAGTGGAGATTTAATGCTGATAAGTATGTTCAGAAATTCCAGGACTTGGGCGCGGGGGCTGCAGGGAGGCCCACCGCTCCATTTCACTCTTCTGGCTGCCCGTGCCGATGGGCTCACTCGTGCAGACGGTGTCCTCGCTCTGGAGCGGTGCCGCCGGCTCGCAGAGGTGGAATTCCCGTGACTCCTGCGGGCTGGGCTCAGTGCTCCTCAGGGCTGCTCTGAGTACATCGAGTGTGGATCGCAGAGACCCTGTTGTCCATTTGCCGTGGAACTGATAAGGAAGACGGGTGTCCTCCCTCTCCAGGAGCCCTTGTGTGACTGTAGATGCTGCCAGTCTCACCTTCCCTGGGCCCTTACCTGGAGTTCCGTAGATCACCCCAAGTGTCTGTTTTGTTTTTTACAGCCACTCTAAGTTTTCCATTTAATTTTTCCAATAAAGGCAGCTGGATCTTCAGCCCTTGAATCGCCGTTTGGAGGCATATGGAAGACAGGATAGTGTCATTTTCCCTATCTATAGCCACAGAAAATGGGCATGCACGGAGCTTTCATACCCACTTTGAGCTATTTATATATTTTAAAATTTATGTAAGTAGGCTTTCATTAAAAACACAAATGAGGAAAAATACTGTGAACACAAGCTCAGTGCTGCTTGTGAGGTCAGCTTTGAGCTCGGTCCTTTTCTGAGAAGCAGGCGTCAGTGTGTCCTCAGGAGTGACACGGGGGGAACTGGCGTCGTGGCGCAGCACGCTGACCGCTGCTGCCTGCTATGCTGGCATCCCACATGAGTGCCAGTGCACGCGACCCAGCTGCTCTGCTTCCAGTCCAGCGTCCTGCTGATGCACCCGGAAAAGCAGCTGAAGATGCCCAAGCGCTAGGGTCCCTGCCACCTATCCTGGCTCTGGCCTGGCCCAGCCCTGGCTGCTCTGGCCATTTCAAGAATGAACCAGCAGATGGAAGCTCGATCTCTCTCTTTTTCTCTTTCTCTTTCTCTTTCTCTTTCTCTTTCTCTTTCTCTTTCTCTTTCTCTCTCTCTCTCTCTCTCTCTCTCTCTCTCTCTCTCTCTCTCTCTCAACTCTGCCTTTCAAATAAAAATAAATTAAAAAAATAAAATAACGTGGTGGGGCAGGCCTTTGCCTGGTGGTGGAGATGCCCATGTCCCGAATTGGAGTTCTTGGGGTCTGCGCCTTGCCCTTGCTCCCAGTTCCACCAGTGCAGACCCTGGTAAGCAGCAGGGAGGGCTCAAATAATTAGGTTCCTGCCACCCACTTAGGTGACCTGGATTGAACTCCGGGCTCCAGACATTGTGGGTGCCTGGGGAGTGGATCAGCAGATAGGGACCTGCTCTGTCTGCCTTGCCAATAAATAAAACAGATCTGCGTCATGGTCTTCTAGACTCGCTCATCTTTTTTTTTTTTTTTTCCTTAAGATTTATTTATTTGAAAGGCAGAGTTAGAGAGAAAGAGAGGTCTTCTATCCATTGGTTCACTCAAATTGCCGTAACAGCTGGAGCTGGGCCAGTCTGGAGCCAGGAGCCAGGTGCTTATTCCAATTCTCCCACATGGGTGCAGGGTCCCAAGCACTTGGCCCATCTTCCACTCCTTTCCCAGGCGCATTAGCAGGGAGCTAGATCGGAAGTGGAGCAACTGGGACTCGAATTGGACTCGAATGAGGCGCCAGCCCCTCATTCTTCTCATGGTCCTTAGTGAGCAGCTGGAACAGGCACTTCACTGTTATTTTTGGTCTAAGTTTATTTAACAACTGAGTGCAGGAGAGCACCGGTGGGTCGGAAGGGTGGGACGATCGAGGACTCTGAAGTTGACGACAGTTTACACCCTGGCACTGTTACCTCTGTGGCCTTGGACCCACCTCTGTACTTGCTTCGCTGGGAAGAATGAGAAGAGCAGGAGTTGACCCGTGGACTCAGGTCAGTGCCCTGCAGCGCCACCCTCACCACCCCCGAACTCTGCCCCCGCCTCCCCAGGGTGTGAAGTGATCGCGGTGAACACCCGCTCCACCAGTCAGACGTTCATTTACAAGTGCGACGCGGTGCTCTGCACCCTCCCCCTGGGCGTGCTCAAGCAGCAGCCGCCAGCCGTCCAGTTTGTGCCCCCGCTCCCCGAGTGGAAGACGTCCGCCGTGCAGAGGATGGGGTTCGGCAACCTGAACAAGGTATGCTCGCGCCCTGCCGGGGGGGTGGGGTGGGGTGCTGGGTCTGCTCCCGGCCGCGTGCGATGCCAGGGCCAAGGCCGTCCATTCATTACCCTCAGGGCCTGGTTCCGTTAGAAGGTGGCCAGGCAGGCGTCCGTCTCACGGGGTCATTGTGCAAAGTGCAGGTCCTCAGGACGCAGCTGTGAGAGGGTGTGGGCGTGCGCTGGGAGCAGGTTAGAGGAGACCCGGCGAGTCCTGAAGGGGCTTTAGGCGGGGCTCCCCGAGCCCTGCCCCCACTCATTTGCTCCTTTCACGCGCTAGGTGGTGTTGTGTTTCGACCGGGTGTTCTGGGACCCGAGTGTCAATCTGTTTGGCCACGTTGGCAGCACAACGGCCAGCAGGGGCGAGCTCTTCCTCTTCTGGAACCTCTACAAAGGTAACTGCCCTCCGCCTCACCCGCCTCCTCCCGCGAGCTGGAAGGCTGGGCTTGGCTCCTCTGTGTGCCCGTAGTCCTCCTCATTCACCCGGCAGATAGTTTGTGAAGGCCCTCCTGGGAGCTGGGGATACGCGAAGAGTGCCTGCCTCCACGGAGCTCACAGCCCAGTGAGGGCTCCGCTGCGCAGGCCGGCAGCCGCGGGGCAGAGGCTGCGAGGCCGGAACCGGCCACCGAAAGTGCATGAAGATCAGCTCCACAGTAGGCAGGGCCTGGGCCTGGGAAGCCCAGATCCGTGTTCGCGGCTGTTTGTGTCTGATGGCCCCTGATGCTGTGTGCTTCCCTTAGAATGTGTTTATGGAGCCCCCTCCTCCTGTGGAGTTCCTCTCTGGAACGGTACTGTCCTCACTGTACCCGACCTGGTGCTGAGCCTAGAGAGGATTTGAAACAGACACTGTCGTCCCGCAGCCTCCGGAGGCGGTGCTGTCCAGACACGTGGCTCCCTAGCACGACGCCCCCCGCCCCTCACTGCCTCCCGTGAGGCAGCGTCCACCCCTCCAGGCCGCTGACCCAGAGGGGGCCCCTGCCCCTGCCACACGTCCAGTCCTGGCAGTGCCCGCCTCACAGCGTCACAAACCTGCTTGCTTTTCCGCTGCCCACCTCCCAGTCCAAGCCACTCCTGCCTCATGCCTTGGCCACCACAGATCTCCCCGCTGTTGTTTCTTCTTGGTTTGTTTGTTGTTAATTGAGAAGCAGAGAGATGGAGGAAGAGCACTGTGCTAGCTCACTCCCCAAACTCCCCGGCCGCACGCGGTGCCTGGGGCTGGGCCCTCAGTCCAGGTCTCCCACTCCTCCCAGGGTCTGCGCTGGCGGGAAGCTGGAGCCAGTGCTGGGCGTGGAACCCCGGCTCTCGGAGATGCGGGATCTTAGCCGCCACACCGATGCTGACCCCACCCCTGCATTTTTCTGCAGTTGTTGACTGCCCTGCAGAAGGAGAGCGCTCAGAGTCCTTACCGTGACCCGTACTGGGGCCCCCTAGTCCCTCCTCCGTCCTCTGTCCCCTACCTTCATGCCTGCTGGCCAGTCCCGAGACACCTCACGCCGTTCTGCTTCAGGGCCTCCTGCATGTGCTGTGGCCTAGGATGGGGCCATGTGTCCTTGGTTCTCCTTTCCCAGCCTGGTCTCTGTCCTCAGACTTCAGGCTTAGAGCTAAATGTCAGTGTTTGAGAGAGGCCTACCGGTCCCCACACCCTGCCCCGCCCCATCCCACGGCCTTGAATCTGAATTCACATCCCTGTACGTTGAATTCACATCCCTGTACGTTTTTTTCATAGTTTTTATCAGCATCCTAGCTTTACACTATGTGGTCATTTGTTGCTCTGATGAACGTATCTAGTTTGTGTCCCCGGCACCTGCCGCTGCGGCTGCTCCGTCTTGTAAGTCTGTCGTGTTGCATAATTCCTCACCACGTGGGGGAGCTGCGCTGCGGACGGGCCTGGGACAGCCAGGATAGAGGCGCTGTCCGCTCCCTTCGTGAGCAGGGGCTGAGGCGGCTGACTGCGCTGGGCAGCAGGGCGTGCTGAGTGAGGCTCCGCCCCAGTCTGCGCTCCCTCTGGCTGGTCTCCGGCCTAGCCTTTGGGCAGTGCTGCACCAGGAATGAGGCGGGGACCCTGGAATTGTCCTTTCTGCTCCCCAGCTCCGATACTGCTGGCCCTGGTGGCAGGAGAAGCTGCTGGCATCATGGAAAACATAAGCGACGACGTCATTGTTGGCCGATGCCTGGCCATCCTTAAAGGCATTTTTGGTAGCAGTGCCGTGCCCCAGGTAAGTCGGTGGGTAGGCAAGCAGGGATCCGGGGTTCAGACTAAAGCAGGTTCCTGATTAGTGTGGTTTCAGCCAGAGTTGGGAAGTGTGTGCTGGTCTACATGAGAATGAACGTTTGGACGTAGTGCCCGAGTGTGGGGTTCAGAGAAGCCCCCGGTGCCTGAGCGGCTGTGTCACACCAGCCTCGCCTCTACACAGTGTGACAAGCCCCAGTGAGCAGTGGCCTGGGCGCTTCACTAGACTCTCTCGGTACTTTTGGGTTCTTGAGCCCCTGTGGAAAGTCGGAAGCCTCTTAGGATCCCTTTCCCAGGAGGCACAGGGGTATTTGCTGTGAGCGCCTAAGAGGATACGGGTCCAGTCCCGTGCAGATCTGGGCTCCCCGGGCGTGGAGGCGGCCCTGCAGCCTGGCCGTGCCTCCGCGGGTTTCCCAGCGCGTGCGGTTCCCCACCCCCGCCCTCTGCTCTCCCACCTTTCAGAACTGACCGCTTGGTTTGGTGTGCTCTTGGTTTTTCCCTTAGCCCAAGGAAACAGTGGTGTCTCGTTGGCGTGCGGATCCCTGGGCCCGGGGCTCCTATTCCTACGTCGCTGCAGGGTCGTCTGGCAATGACTATGATTTAATGGCTCAGCCAATCACTCCTGGCCCTTCGATTCCAGGTGCCCCACAGGTGAGAAACTGGCAGCTGTCCAAGGCTGTTTTGGGAATCTTGGAAAAATGTCACTGATTTTTTTTTTTCTTCACATTTGGTCATTCTGTCCTTGGACAGATAACCATCTACTGTGGCTTTGTAAACCTAGGCTGTCTGCTGTTAAAACACAGGGCCCAGAGCGCTCTAAGTACCTTTCTTCCTTACTCAAGACCACGTTTAATGCCCCAGTTTGCAGTGGCTCGGGACTGTGGGACTCGGTCCGCAGGGGCCAGGCCCTGCTGCACAGAGCAGTCCGGTGCCCAGTATCAGCCGCAGCTGAGCCTGCTCAGGCTGGCGAGGCGGAAGTTTCCGAGGAAGCTGCGTGGGGGCAGGGCGCTCGGGGTGGGAGGCAGGCGGCTGCTAAGGACAGATGCCGGGGCGGCGCAGAGCCGGGCTGGGCTGTCGGCGTCGCGTTCTCCTGGACGCCTGGGCAGGTGCTTCGCGCCAGGGTGTGGTGCGGTGTCTCTGAGGAGCCAGCGAGTGAATGTGGGTCTGCAACCTGCTGTTCTCTCCCCCGCCCCCACAGCCCATCCCACGACTCTTCTTTGCGGGGGAACACACCATCCGGAACTACCCAGCCACGGTGCACGGTGCTCTGCTGAGCGGACTGCGAGAAGCAGGAAGGATCGCGGACCAGTTCCTAGGGGCCATGTACACCCTGCCTCGCCAGGCGACGCCGGGCGTCCCCGCACAGCAGTCCCCGAGCATGTGAGACGCCCCGCGCCGGCCCGCTGCTGTGGGAGAGAGCTCTCCCGGCAGCGCCTCCGCCCGGCGTCCAGCCTCGTGACCGGCTCGTGGAGCGAGCTCCTGGCTTCACGAGGGAAGCTGCCTCCCCTTCCACCAGGGACTTGGAGCAGCGGGAGGGACTTGCTCGTTAGCCTGCAGTTGTCTCTTCCCAAAGACTGAGGCGAGCAAGGGATTAATATCTTAGTTTCATGGTGTGTGGTGTTTTTTATATTGAGAATAAATCTTCATATAAAATCGGTCCTGTTCCTTTTTCCCCTTAGAGTTGGAGTTGGGTCACTCCCGGCACATCCCGGCTTTGTCCTGTGGCAGTGGACATGAGAGAGAAAAGGGGTTTGGTCAGGTCCGAAGCCGAGGCTCTGGGTGCCGCAGATGGCAGCGGCCCTGCCGGTGTGCGGGGCTGTGTGCTGGCTGCCGAGCGTGGAGAGGGGGGACTTGAGCTGGTTTTCAAGGCAAACCCAAGACCTGAAGTTTGAGCCCCAGTCTGGTGCCTTCCCCAGGTGCCCGTGTGAGCCTCCCAGCTCTGCTGCTGATGCTAGGGAGGGACTGGATTTCCGGAGTGCACAGGGGGGCGCTCAAGGGCTCGGGTAACTTACTTGATGTAACAAATTGCCACAAATTTAGTGGCTTAAAACAGTGCAAACCTGGCGTTTCAGAAGGGTCTGCGAGCGGGGTGCACTTGCCTGTCCTTGGCAGTGTCTTGCAGCTGCCCTGGCTCGTGACCCGTCCCTCCACCCGACCACCTCACTCCGGCCCCTGCTTCCACCCTTACACCTTCTCTTGTCAGCGTCCAGTCTCCCTCTTGGAAGGACACTGTGGCACCATTTAGGGGCCACCTGGTGAATCCAGGACCATTCCCTGTCCCCTCCACACACCCCAAGTCCCTGCTCCTGTCTGCAGATGCACACACCTGTGCAACAAGCAGGCGCCGGCGCCGGATCCCGTGGGCCGTGGGATGAACTGCAGCGCTCGGTCCGCTCTTCCCATGATTAGTCTAAAGGAGGCTTTAAAGGACATTGCATCGGTGGTCTGATGGGGGCGTGAACGGAGGTCCCTGCCCCCAGTCTTGTGTAAGCGGGAGCAATAGGAAGTCGGCTGACGACAGCTCCCTGTGACTGGGACGGGCAGGCCTGGGGTGCAGGTGCCCGGGGCGAGCCCACCTCCCACGCTGTCCACAGCAGCCTCACAGACGGTAGTGGGTTTTTCGTGTGTGTGTTTTTTTTCTCCCCCCTTGGGTAAGTGCAAGCCTGAAATAAAACCTGGGCAAAGAATCAGTTGCCGATTCCACTCCAGTTCAGATGTGTCGGTGCTCGGTGTCCCCCCCGCCCCCCAGCTTTGGCTCCTCCACCGTGAGTACGTGGCTGGGTATGTCATGCCGCGTCCCACCCGCACCAGGGCCTGGGCGCCACCCCCCCCGAGTCACTCGCACAGGCACGTGGCAGCTGGGGAGCTTTATTGGTTACACACCGTGCTCGGAGCCCGCAGAGCTACATGCAGGCAGCGCCGGCCGCACAGGCCCCGAGGAGCCCTGCGCCACTGCTCGGGGTTCCGGCCGCCTCGGCCCGTGCCTGGAGCAGATGGAGAAGCTGCCGCACCTGGACTCCCAGGGGCAGGGGTGAGACCCAACACCGCCCGAGCGTGCAGGCGCGGCTGACAAGACTGACACCTCAGCAGAGCCTACGATGCGGTAACAGTTAGAGGGCTCTTTCCTAGCCCCTCCTCAATCTTTTAAAATACAAAAAATAGACTTTATTCTCTTAAAAATACATTCCATTCATACATGTTCTGAGCTGTGAAGCAGCAGAATAGGGCCCCTTGCTGTGGTCTCGTGAGGCTTCGCGGAGAGCCTGCCCGCGGGGGTTCCAGATCACCCCTAAGAGCAGCTCTTGCCGAAGTCTCGTCAGAGTGACCACCCACAGCCACCAAGGCGGCGGGGGCCCAGGCTGAGGCCCCTCCTTTACTGGGAGTGGTGACCTTGGCACTGACTTCACGAAATATAAAGGCTGAGAACACTGCAGACAGCACCCTCCCACACCCTGAGACGGGCGGCCCGTGTGCAAGCCGGCCTGCGGCTGAGGCCGGAGTCCGGGCCCCGCCGCACACCCTTTCTACCCAGTTTGATTGCCACTCAGAAGCAAAGCCAGCCACGGCCACTTCACCCAGTGCCCCGCACGCCTCCGCCACTGCTTTACCAGCAGGCAAAAGGCAGCAGCAGGCGGAGAGCGCGGTGCCCGGCTGCCCGGCCTCGCTAGGATCCCTCCTGCGACTGCACACCGGCTGGCAGGGCTGAGCGCCTAGCGGCGGAGGTGGCTCGTCATGAAGGGGCTGTCGGCGAGGGCAGTGGGCTATTTGGCTTGACCAAACAACTACTCAGCGACCCGGTCTCCCCTCTGGAAGCTTCCTCCAGGGACCCTTGACTGAGGCCCGGGTCCAAGTAGTCACACCGTGGCTGCTCTCCAGTAGTTGCCTTCCAACTTTGGAATCAGAGCCGGCCTTGCCAGCCACGGGAAGCCTGGAGGACCTGAGCTTCCAGCCTCTACCTGTTGTTTTCTGCAATTCTGAGGACATTTAAAAATAAAATCTATTTTACAGCGGTTCTAGAAAGTGTGCAGATTAAAGAAACAAAATATCCTGAAAATAACTGTTAAAGTCAAACCCTATTGCACTCAAGATTCAAGATGGCAGCCCGCAGCTGTGCCTCTTCCCCAGAGCGTCTGAGCTGCGGACACGTGGAAAGATCCAGACTTTGGCACCAGGAGCTACAGCACCAGGATCCAGGGCTCCGATCCCCGAAGACGAGAGTTACCGGCGAGATCTTGGCAGGCCTGGCCCGGCGCCCTGCTGTTGGTGTCCGCAGAGACGAGCCAGACGTTCCCTCCCCGCGGCTGACCGACCACACGGCTCCGTGTCCCTGGAACGCTCAGGCTGCCGAGCGGTGAAGGAGAAGCGCAGGGGTGGCGCGGGAAGGGGCCGAGCTCGGTCAGGGCTGGGGGCGCCCGGGGGCAGCAGCAGGAAGAGAGCTTGAAGACAGCCTCTGAGGCAGGGGCGTGGTGCGCAGGCAGGCCACAGAGCCGTGCCCGCCGCGTGCCGGAACTCCAGAGAGCAGGAGTCCCCGAGAGTCTGGCGCAGAGGGGGCGATGCTGGTTCCAGGCTGGGGCCAGGCAGGGAAGACAACTCGAGAGTCGTCTCGTCAGGGAGTTTCAGGAGCGGCACAGACAGACCCGGGTCAGAAAGGCGCCCTGGCCTGCCAGCCAGGAAAGACGGGCACTGGGCAAGGTTGGTGCCACCAGGGCTGTGGCGAGCACCCAGTCTAATCCCCGCCGTAGGACGCCTAGGGACTCCTCTGAGCTCACCCCCATGAGATGGAAACCCGGGAAACTAGAGACGGGCAGCCTGCAAGCCCACGTGGGCATCTGCAAGAGTAGACACCAGGTTCAAGGCCCTCAGGGACCTGCCGATGGGAGGACAGCCCGCCCGCCCCAGGTCACAGAGCAGAGAAGGAGTGCGCGGTGCCAGGGGGCAGGAGTGTCTTCCACTGAGGCTGCTTTTGAGAGGGGATCCCGCCTGCGAACTGGGACAGCGCTGCAGAGGAGGCAGTGGGGTGCACAGGCGGGCCTTGCAGGGCCCCTTGGGACTGGTGGAGGGACACTGGCCCATTTCCATCTGTGGCTTCCGGAAAGGTTTGCTGCATTCTACACTGTAAACGCGAGGCCCTCTGGGTGTGGCCCTCCTCCCATGAGAAGTCACGCCCGTCTAGGAATGCATCAGCTTGGTAAAGTGCACGCCTCCCCCACGAGGGAGGGAGGAGGAGGACCAGGAGGGCCAACTCAGGGAGCTGCTGCTTGTGGAGTGGAAGTCACTGCTTCCTCGCACGACCGCCCTCGCTGGGCGGGTCCCAGAGGGCAGCGGGAGCTGGGTCAGGCCCAGCGGAGTCCCGGGGTTTTCCCAGGGTGGAAACGATGACATCAGCCTGGAGTCTCAGGTGCTGGAGAGCGAGAAGGCCGTCAGCAGCAACACTGGCGCCCAGGGAGCGACGCACGGGGCTCTGTGCACTTGTGGGTGCTCTTGGAAGGTGAGCAGAGCTGGGGGGACAGGGGTGACGTCATTCCAATGCATGCTCTGCCCCCAGGAAGCAGTGGTGAGCCAGGGGCCAGGCCAGAGAAGCTGCACACTAATGGGTCGCACAGACCCCTGCTGCTAGAGTCAGGGGGCAGAACTCCAAGAGGAGAAGGCGTGGAGCCGACGGCTGCGGGGTCTTAGGTACCTGGGCCCTTTGGGCAGACACGGAGTGAAGTGAAGGTGGAGAGCAGAGGCACAGAGGAGGGGCTGCTCTGTGACAGACAGAACCCCCCCAGGAGCAGAGAGGAGCTGTCACTGCTGGTTTGCCCTCGCAGGTTTCTGTGGCTCCCCGTGGGGGGGTCAGACTGGTCCATGCTACCTGGGGACAAGGAGAGAGGACTCGTGCATCAGAAAGGCTGGGCCTGGGTGGGCGGCTGGCTTACGGTCTCTGGTCCCCTCTGGCCGACCAGAAACATTACCTGAGCCATCGCCTGGCTCTCCAGCAGTCTCCAGCCAAGGCCGTGTGTCCAGCCTGCTTAGCCGGCCTGGGATCCTTCACAGGGCAGCAAGGCGGACGCGCGGAGAAGCAGGAGCGGGGACGCAGGCCTGGCCGAGCTGGCTCAGTTTTCCTCAGCACTGGGCCTGCTGGGCCGTCCTCGCCCAGGCTCCGGCAGCGCCTGCGTCGAAGGCGTCTCAGACCGATCCAGGGACTGTGCTGAATGGTTGTGCAGCCGTCTGTGGACACTCAGTGTGGAGTCTTCCCCTTCCTCCTGTGCCAAGAGACGACCCCGTGAGCTGCGGGGGACCTGCAGTAAGGGTCTAGACACCCTCGCTCCCCCACAGCAGCCCCCCACCCAGGCAGAAGCCGAGACAGACCACCACCTAACTGCAGAGACGTCAGCCAATCAGAAAGTCCCTTGGCAATGAGCTGCTGGACTGGAAGCCCCAAGCTGGGAGCCACCAGGGCAGACTGGGACTCAGAACCGAACAGGCGCCCGAGGCCGGGCCGGCAGGTCAGGTCTCGGGTCCCGCGCAGGCAGGCTGCACGCGCCCAGGTGGAGGGCAGCTCCCTGTGCTTCTCACAGACTCCCCAGTTCGCGTGCCTCCCCGGTACCCGCTCCTACCCCACCGCCTGTGCTTTCTAGAGTGTTCCAAAGGGACCGGAATGCTGCTCTTCCTCCCCACTGCTCCTGCCCTCGAATTCTGCCTCTTCGGCGTTCCCCCATGCACGTGTAGATCAGAGGGTAACGTGGGTATGAGTAGAGAGAGACGGGAATCTAGACTGAACCCCAGCTCTCCTAGAAATCATCTGGGTGACCTGGGTAAGGGACTCAGATAACATTTGCTTCGAGGGCTGAGCAAGGGACTAGATCGGAAAGGGGGCGAGGAGGAAGCTCACGCAGTAAGCGCCCTGTCAAAGCCCTGGAGGCCTTCTCACATTAACACTCAAACGTCGTCAAAGGCAGCGGCGTGTGGGTGCAGGTCTCCCCTCACCATAAGCTGCGCGTCTACACGACGCCCGGGGGCTCCCTGCACCTGACCCTCAGATAGGACACCTGGCTTTGGAGTTCTGTCCTGTAATGCGCTGAAGGGACCCAGCCCTGTCCTGGGACTGAGGGTATGACGGGTGCACGGCTGCCTGGACTTCCCATTTGCGTCTGCAGCTCCAGAGGCCGGCCCAGCGTGAGCTGCAGACGAGGGCGCACACTGAAAGCGCACGTGGCTTTCCTCAGAGTTCACCTTCCTGATTCCCACGCTCCAGTAGCTGCCGGAGACCGCCCCTCCACGTGGGCAGCCCAAGAACCTGCTTCCCTGGCCCTCGGCTCCGCACGCGAGGAGGGCGCTGGGCCCCCTCGCTTCACCTGGCGGCCGCAGAGGGCTGCCCCGACAAGCCGAGGCGACAGAGGCCAGGTTTCCTTTCCGGGGGAACCTGCCCGGTGAGGGCGACACAGAAAGGACATTCTCTGCTTCCGGTAATAAATTTCCAAGTAAGACTGTAGGAGTCGTGCTGCTCTCTCTCAAGCACCCCCTTTAACGCAGGCCCACCTCCTATCGTCCACACCTCTCTGAGCTGCGCAGTTCTAGCCAGTGTTGCCCAGCCACAGATCCCAGAAGCCCGGGTCACACAGACCAGGGCGGAGAGGAGGAGACAGGCAGAGAGAGGAGGAGGGGAGAAGGCAGTGGGACTCACTGTGCCCGCCGAGTGGTTCCAGGCCGCAGCCGCGACAGCATCTCCGAGCCGGGTCTGCCGGAGGAGCACCTCGGACGCCGTGAGGCTGCTCTGGGTCCTCCTGGAGCAGAGCTCAGGGGCGTCCTGTGCGCTCCCGCCTCTGCGGGTGGCCTGCTCCCAAAGGCAGGACGTGGGCTGTTCGGAGAAGTCTGTGCAGGACCTCTGGGTGTAGGCGTTGGCAGCGTCTACGTGTTTCCCTCCTCGCGCTGGGGGGTCTTCCAGAGATTTCAAGTCTCGCCTGCTCTTCCAGGCATTCCGCACGGTGACGTGCCTGGCGTCAGCGGCGCCCACCTCCGACGGCGCACTGTGGCTCTTCCAGCCGATGGTCTCCGCCGGCGGGGCCTGGCCGTTCCTGTCCCCGGAGTCCAGCGGCCTGAGCAGGATGCTGCTCCGAGAGACGACCGTTTCGGAGCGGCTCTTGGGGGACCCGTCGCCTGCTCTCTCCGCTTCCGTGAGCTGCAGCGTGAGGTCGTGCTTGTGAAGGGAGAGCTCAAAGGGGGAGCTGACGTGGTTGCCCGCCGACGTGAGCTCCGGCGGCCCGACGTGGATGTTGCTGGTGGCCGTGTGCCTCTCCCTCGGGGCCTCCGCCAGGGAGGCCCTGGGGCTGCCGCTGTCCGAGGGGTAGATGGTTATGCTGCTGCTCACTTTGCTGGGCCCCGGCCTGGAGGCGGGTCTCTGCTTCTCCGCCGCGGCCTCGGCTCCCGCCCCTCCCATGACCTTCTTCACGTCCTTATCGACGATGACGGGTTTGATGACGGCCCTGGAGCGCAGGGCCTCCCTGGGGCTGAAGGGCCTCTGGCTCTTCACCTCGGCGCCGTTGGCGTTCGCAGCGTCCGTGGCGTTGGCGGAGGCTCGGACCGGCTTCCCGGATTCGTTTTCAGTCCCCACGTCCTTCTCGTTCTCAAACAGGGAGGTCCTAGGTCCCCCTCGGGCTTTGGCCTTTTCTCTCGAGCTGGGCTGCGCGCGCGGCTCTGGCTCTGGGGTGACGGTCGTGTTCACCAGCTTGGCGGTGACGAGAGACACGGAGTCCAGGTCGTCGTCCGAGCCGGCCTTCTCTCCGCCGAGCTTCACGACGCGGCACCGCAGGGCCTCGTGCTGGCTGCCGTCGCCCATCACCACGGCCACGGGGGCCTCGGCCCCCTCTTTAGTCGGCGCTGAAAAGCCCGGCAGGATGCTCTCCTGGCTTCTGGAGCTGTAAGGATACTTGGCTAAGACGGGGGCCTTGGCATGCGGGGCACTGACGTCGGCCTCCAGGCCATTGGCAGCCTTTTTCCCCTTGGCGGGCCCCTCCAAGGGCCTCCGCGACGAGGCCAGCGCTCCCGCGGCCTTGGCAGGGCCGGAGTCCGCGGCCTGCGCTCCCTGACCCCCGCTGCCGGGCACCCTTCCCCTCTTCCCAAAGCCAGCCTCGGAGGACGGGTCGGCAGCCTTGTCCGCTCTGCCCCCCGTGTCGTTGGGGACAGACCCATGGACGTGATCGCTGAACGTTCGTGTCGCCTTCTCTACTCTTCCCTTCAGCCCGCTCTCGGCGCCCGGCCTGGGAGTTCCCTTCCAGGCCCTGCCGTGCTCCTGAGCAGCCGGCGGGTAGCGGCTGAGGACCGACGGCTGCTCCCGGGACTTCTTGCCCTCACTCGGGGAGCAGCCCGGCGCCGCTCGGTCTTCAGTCCTCCTCGCCTCCTGGGCGCCCCCGTCTGGCCCGGCCCCCGCGTGGGAAGCTTTGGCTGCCCTCCTGTGGGCGACAGCGGGCGAGGACGCCTGCCTGTTGTTCAGAGCCGAGTTCTCGTTGTGGAGCGCAAACTCCTTGTTGCGGAGCCTCTCTCGCTTATGCTGGGGAGACGGGTCCCGGGCCGGGGGCCGCAGCACGGCCGCCTCGCCCCCCTGGCCTCTAGGCTGAGTCCGCTCGGGCCTGCCCTTGCCGGGCAGGAAGGCGTCCTCCCCCTCCACCTCCCCGTTCTGCAGCTCCTTCTGCTTCTGGATCTGCAGCTTGATCTCCTCCAGCTGGCTGGCTAGGAGCTTGTTCTTGTTCTGCTCGCTCAGGTAGTTGTCCTGAAGGTCGTTGTTTCTGGCTCTCATCTTCTTCAGCTCTTCTTCCAGAGACTCAAAGTGTTTGATCTGCGTCTTGAGTCTCTCAATCTCCTGGTTGAGGTCCTGGACTTTGTTGTCTTCCTGGTTCCGGTTCTTCTCGTTTTCTGCTCTGTTTCTCGTCTCGTTCTCCACCTGCTTCAGGTAGTCCAGCGCGCCCTTGCGCCGCGCCTCCTTGGACGGCAGCGTGGCCGGGACGCCGTCCTCGATCCGCAGGTCGCTGCGCTCCAGGAGGTGGGAGGCGTTCCGCGCGTACTCCCGGTTCGCCTTGTTCTGCTCCAGTTTCTGAGTGAGCTCCTTTATCAGCTTCTCGTTCTCCTTCTCCTTCTCGTTCAGGTACTTGCGCTCGCTGACGAAGCTCAGCGTTAGCGCCTTCAGCGTCTCCAGCTCCGACAGCAGGCTCTGCTCGCTCTTGTCCAGGCGGTCCCCCGACGCCTCCAGCTCCTTCAGCTTAGCCCGCAGCATCTCCAGCTCCGAGGAGATCTTCTTGGTCAGGTTCCGCTCCTCGTTCAGGCTCAGGCAGAGCTGCGTGCAGTCGTTCTTACTCCTGCTGAAGGCCTCCTCCAGCTTCTCCAGCTCCGCCATTCGCTTCTGGAGCCGCTCGACCTCGGCTCTCAGCTCGCGGGTGAGCTTCTCCTCCTCTTCCAGCTTCTCCTTCATCAGCTGACACAGATCCTCCGCCCGCTTGATCTCCTCGTCTTTGCCCTCGATCTTCAGCACCCGCTGGCGCAGCGCCTCGATGTCGGCCAGCATGCTGGAGTTGCCGCCCTCCGCCTGGATCACCTTGTCCTGCAGCTCCAGGAGCTCGTCCTCCGCCTTCTGCAGGCTTCTCGTGGCCTCCTCCAGCTCATCCAGGCGGCGGCTCAGGCTCTGCAACTTAAACCGCAGGTGGCGGCTAGAAGCAGCATCCTTGTAACTTCCAAGTTCAGCCATGTCTACTGCCAGGCAGCGTGGGCTCCCAGAGGCAGCCAGTTCCCCTCGCAGGGCTGAGAAATGGTTACCTTTCTCTTGGCACCCACTTCCCTTGCCAGCCGGACACCATGGTTGGTCTACAAAGGAGAGCGGAAAGCATGTCAGTCAAGCAGCCTACGACACCTCAGCTCCCACCCCGACCTCGTGCCTGTGACACAGCAGGAGCTCAAGCTTCTTGAACTAATAAACTTGAAGAAATTTGCCTGAGAAACACGCGTGCTTTACGGCAGACACCGGGCTCACGCCAGCCCCAGCCTAACACACGATGCCACGGCAGCACCGCAGGGAGACCCACAGGCAGCTTCGCCCTCTGCAGAGCTCAGGAGAGTCACCCACCTTCCTGCAAGTCATTAACTAAGTTAACCAAGTCTCAGTTTACCTAGCTGTACAATGGAGATGCTTAAAAAACGGAAATCTTGGGGCCGGCACTGTGGCATAGCAAGTAGAGCTGCTGTCTGTAGTGCCAGCATCCCACGTGGGTGCAGGCGCGTGTCCCGGCTGCTCCTCCTCTGACCCAGCTCTCTGCTCTGGCCTGGGAAAGCAGTGGAAGATGACCCAAATCCTTGGGCCCCTGTACTTGCGTGGGAGACCTAGAAGAAGCCCCTGGCTCCTGGCTTCAGATCGGCCCATCTCCAGCTGCTGCGCCCAACTGGGGAGTGAACCACTGGACGGAAGACACCTCTCTCTCTCTCTCTCTCTCTCTGCCTCTCCTCTTCTCTCCTCTCTCTGTATAACTCTTTCAAATAAATAAATCTTAAAAAAAAAAAAAAACTTTTATTATGACTGAGCAAAATTTATACTAATAAGAACAAAAGTTAATAAGATTATTGTCCAGACACCACAAGATAAGTACATTCTAATGTTTAAAGTCATACGTGTGTTGGCCGGCGCCACAGCTCACTAGGCTAATCCTCCGCCTTGCGGCGCCGGCACCCCAGGTTCTAGTCCCAGTCGGGGCACCGGATTCTGTCCCGGTTGCCCCTCTTCCAGGCCAGCTCTCTGCTGTGGCCCAGGAGTGCAGTGGAGGATGGCCCAAGTGCTTGGGCCCTACACCCCATGGGAGACCAGGAGAAGCACCTGGCTCCTGCCTTTGGATCAGTGCGGTGTGCCGGCCATGGCGCCATCGGAGGGTGAACCAACGGCAAAGGAAGACCTTTCTCTCTGTCTCTCTCTCTCACTGTCCACTCTGTCAAAAATAAAATAAAATAAAATAAAATTTTAAAAAAAGTCATACGTGTGTGACAGAGGTTATCATACTTTTTGGTGTGGGCCTTGGTGCTATTCCAACAGGTTGCGGGATTTGTGACTATTGTCAGCAAGCCCCCCCAACACTCGGGAAAGTGGGCAGAAGGGGTAAAAACAGCAAAGAGGGATAAAATAGTTTTTTTTTGTCACACTGTATATCCATTTAAGTGGAATATTTGGTGCCAATTTATTTACATTTTCATTTTTATGCCAATAAAAGTTTTTGAAATTAAAAAAATAAAGTCATAAAAGGGGGGAAAAACAGGAAGAAAGATTAAGATGATATAGATGGGGGCTGGTGCTGTTGGCACGGCAGGTTAACACCCTGGCCTGAAGCACTGGAATCCCATATGGGCACCGGTTCGAGACCCAGCTGCTCCACTTCCGATCCAGCTCTCTGCTATGACCTGGGAAAGCAGTAGAAGATGGCCCAAGTCCTTAGGCCCCTGCACCCACATGGGAGACCTGGAAGATGATCCTGGATCCTGGCTTCAGATCGGCACAGCTCCAGCTGTTGCAGCCAACTGGGGAGTAAATCATCAGATGGAAGACCTCTCTCTCTCTGTGTAACTCTGACTTTCAAATAAATAAATAAGTTAACTCCTTAAAAAAAAAAAAAAAAACTATAGACGAAGATCTGAAAATTAACCAAATAGATCAGCTAGAAATAGGTGAGGGTGGGGGGTGGGGTCCGGAGGCCAGTGCTGTGGTGCAGCAGGCTAAGCCGCTGCTTAGTACGCCCACGTCCCATATGACAGCACCAGTTCAAGTCCTGGCTCCCCTTCCAAACCATCTAGCTCCTTGCTCATGTGCCTGGGAAAGCACCCGACGATGACCCAGGTATCTGAGTTCCTGCCACCCTCGTGGAAGACCTCAGTGGAGTTCTGGGCTTTCAGCTTCAGCCTGGCCCAGCCAGCTCTTGTAACCACTTGGGCAGTAAACCAACAGATAGAAGATATCTCTCTTCTATCATCACTCTGCCTTTCAAATAAATAAATCTCTTTTAAAAAATAGCATATTACATGAAGAAAAACAGTGGTTGAAAAGAAATAGAACAGACATGATGAAACTGCAGAAGGCAGCAGGGCGTTTAGAAGGTGGGAAACAGGAAAGAGGTTGTAGGGTCGATGCTGTGGCCTAACGGGTGAGGCCACCCCATCCGACGTGGGCACTGGTTTGAGTCCTGGCTGCTCTACTTCTGATCCAGCTCCCTGCTACTGTGCGTGGGAAAGCAGTGGATGACGGCACAAGTCCTTGGGCCCCTGCACCTGCATGGGAGACCCGGAATAAATAAATAAATAAATCTTTAAAAAAGAAAAAGAGAAAAACAACAGACAACAGTAGCTTTCAAATCATGAGGAAGAGGGGCAGGTGTGTGGTGCCGCCGGTTAAGCTGCCGCTGGCAACGCCCAGCATCCTGTACTGCAGTGCCAGTGCAAGTCCTGGCTGCTCTGCTCTGATCCCGCTCCCTGCTAAAGTGCCTGGGAAAGCACCAGAAGACAGCTCAAGTAATTCAATTCTGACCAACCATGCGGGAGACCCAAATGGGGTTCCCAGCTCCTGGCTCCTGGCTTCACCTTGGCCCAGACCTGGCTGTTGCAGCCATTTGAAGAGTAAAGCCAGTGATGGAAGAGCTCTCTCTGTTACTCTTTCAAATAAATAAATAAATAAAAATCTTAAAAAAGTTACAATTAACTCTACATATAATTAAGAATAGATGTTAGTCACAGGTCTGATGAGGAAGGACCTAATATCCACAATACATAAGGAATTTCTACAACTTCATTAACAAAATAACCTAATTTTAAAATGGACAGAGCTGGGCCAGTGTTGTGGTGTAATGGATAAAACCACCACCTGCAGTGCTGGCCCCGTAGCTGCAGGGGAATCCCGTGAGAAACTCCTGGTTCTTGGCTTCGGCCAAGCCCAGCCCTGGCCACTGCAGCCATTTGAGGAGTGAATCAGCAGATGGAAGACCACTCTGTCTCTGTCTTGGCTTTCTCTAACTCTGCCTTTCAATTAAATCAATAAATAAATCTTTTTCTAAAGAAGATATAAATTACTAATATCAGAAATGAAAAGAGAATATAACTATAGATCCCATGGACATAAATAAAAAGGAATATTATGAACTCTATGACTGCATATTGAAATGGACTAGTTTCTCAAAAGTTACCATCCGCCAAACCTCATATATAAGCAATCTAAACAGGACTGATTCTCACTTTAAATTTAATCAATAATTATTAAGCTTCCAAAACAGGATGTACCAGGCCCAGACAGGGCCACTGGTAAAACCTACCAAACATTTAAGGAGAAAATTATACCAATTTTCTGCAATTTCTTCCAGGAAACAGAAGTAGAGGTCCTGCATTACCCTCATAACAAAACCAAAGACAATGCAAGAAAACCACAGATCAGTATCTCTGGTGAACACAGATACAAGTGGTTTCTTTTAATAATCTCTTTTTTCTTTTTAAGGTTTATTTTATTTATTTGAATGACAGAGAGAAAGGGAGAGACAAGACAGAGATCTTCCATGCACTGATTCATTCCCAAATGGCTGCAATGGCTGATGCTGAGCCAGGCAGGGAGAAGCCAGGAACCCAGATCTCCCGCGGGGGTGCAGGGGCCCAGGTACTTGGTCATCTTCCACCGCCTTCCCATGTGCATTTAGCAGGGAGCTGGACGGGAAGAAAGTGGAGCAGCCAGCTTGCAAACTGGCGCTCCAACATGGGATGCAGGTGTTGTAGGTGGCGGCTTAACCCACTATGCCACAACACTGACCCAGATACAAAAATCTTTTAAAAAGAGTAAATCAAATCCAACCATGTATACAAAGAATTATAAGCCACAACGAATTAGGATTTATCCCAGATATGCAAAGCTGGTTCAACATTCAAGAATCAAATGATGTGATTATCACATTAGTAGGTTAAAGAAGAAAAATAACATGATCACATCCATAGAGCAGAAAGTGCATTTGACAAAATCCATCATTTAGCATAAAACCTCTCACCAAACAGGGAACAGAGGGAAACGTCCTCATCTTGATACCCCCCCCCAAAAAAAATCTACAGTTGACATCACACTTACTGGTGATAAACTCAGTTTCTCACTAAAATTAGGAACAAGGTAAAGATGTCCTCTCTCAGTACTCTTTCCCAACACTGTCCAGAAACCCTAGCTTATGCAATAAGAAACAAAACATATATTGTTTGGAAAGGAAGAAATAAGACTTTCTGTGTGTCAATGACATGACTGTCTGTAGAAAATCCAAAAGAAAAGCCAAAAAGGCCATGTTGGAACTAAGTAATTACAGCAAGGTTGGAGGACATAAGGTCAATAAATGAAAGTCAGTCACTTTCCTAAATACCAGCAAGAAACAACTGAAATTTAAGATAAATACCATGGGGGCCGGCGCTGTGGCACAGTGGGTTAAAGCCCTGGCCTGAAGCACCGGCATCCCATATGGGCGCCGGTTCGAGACCAGCTGCTCCACTTCCGATCCAGCTCTCTGCTATGGCCTGGGAAAGCAGTAGAAGATGGCCCAGGTCCTTGGGCCCCTGCACCCACATGGGAGACCTGGAAGAAGCTCCTGGCTCCTGGCTTCGGATCAGTGCAGCTCTGGCCATTGTGGTCAATTGGGGAGTGAACCATCAGATGGAAGACCTCTCTCTCTCTCTCTCTCTCTCTGCCTCTCCTTTCTCTGTGTAACTCTGACTTTCAAATAAATAAATAAATCTTAAAAAAAAAAAGATAAATACCATGTACATAGCATGCCAAAATATGAAATACTTAGTTGTGAATCTAAAAAATATACAAGATCTCTTCTCTCTCTCTCTCTCTCTCTATATATATATATACACACACACACACACACACACAAAGCTTGAGTGTGCAAACTACAAAACATAGATGAAGGATATCTAAGAAGAGCTAAATGAACACTTTCCACATTCGGGGGAAGACTATATTGTCAAGACGTCAGCTCTTCACAACTTGACTTATAGATTCAACACAATCCCAGCAAGTTACTTTGTGGGTATCAACAAACTGATTCTGAAGTTTATCTGGTAAGCCAAAAGACCCAAAATAAACAACCCAATAATGAAGAACAAAGGTGGAGGACTGATACAACCTGACTTCAAGATCTACTGCAACACTAGAAATTCAAACAGTGTACACTGGAGAATGCATAAACAAACAATCAGTGGATCAGAATGAGGACCAGAAATAGATCCACATAAATACAGTCAACGGATCTTTGAGGAAAAAGCAAAAGCGATACAACAAAGATAGTTTTTCCTACAAACTATGCTGGGAATGAACATCCACACTGTAAAAAATGAATCTAGGTACAGGTGTTTGCCCGAGGTGGTTTACCACGCCCGCCTCTCACGTCAGAGCGCCTGGTCCACGTCCTGCCCGCAGTGCCCAATTCCAACTTCCTGCTAATGCAGACCCTGGGGGGCAGCAGGAGATGGCCTAAGTAGCTGGGGGTCCCTGCCACCCACGTGAAGACCTGGACTTGGTTCTTGGCTCCTCACTTTGGCCTTGGCCCAGGCCCAGCCACTGCGGTCATTGTGGGGAGTGAACCAACAGTTGGGAACATGTTCTTTGCCTCTCAAATAGATAAATGCTTTAAGACAGGACTGGGGAATGTCCAGCCGCCATACACAAAATCATCTGGTCTGGCCTTGCTAAGGCAAATGCAGGCAGGACTGGAAATTCCATAAATCTAGAGCAGGCTAATTTTAAGTTGATAATTTTGTATGGTCCGTAAATGATGTTATAAATATACAAATGGCCCTTGGCAGAAACAAGGGCCCCCATCCCCACTTTAAGAGAAGAAAAAAGTCTAGATCTAGGGCTTACACCCTTGACAAAAACTAACTCAGAACAGACCATAGACTTAAATGCAAAATCAAAAACTTCAAGAAGACAACAGAAAACCTAAGTGACCTTGGGGATGGTAATCACATTCTTGATATCACAGCCAAGGGCAATCTGTAACTGACAGCTGGACATCATTAAAATGGAAGACTTCTGCTGGGCAAAACTCAGACTGCGAGAAAATGCCTGCACAAGACATCCGGCAACAGACTCACTCGGAACACACAAAGAACTCTGAAAACTCAACAAGAAAACAAAACACAGTTTTCAAATGGGCACAGACCCAAACAAGCACCTTACCAAAGAAGATACACAGACGGCACACAGCTGCATACACAGAGATGCTCAGCATAGCGTGACGTTCTGGACCTGCAAATCACAACACTGAAACATGGCCACACACCCCCTGAAACGGCCCAGGCCCGAGCCCTGCTGCACATGTAAAGCAGCAGCGCCCTCCTCACGCGCTGCGAAGCCGGTCTGGCAGTTTCTTGTACAATCCAACTACTCTCACCAGATACCCAGCAATCGCACTACCGGTATCTGCCCGACTGAGGTGAGAACTTGCGTCTACACAGAAGCCTGCATGTGCATGTCACAGCCCCTCTGTTCATTTACACCTGCCCAAACTGGAGGCAACCAAGCTCCCTTCACTAGATGAATGGGCAAACTGGTACATCTAAGCGCTAGAATATTAATATCATTCAGTGCTAAAAAGACGTGAGCTCCCAGGAGCCCTAAAAAATACAGAGGAACCTTAAACATAGATTATTTAGTGAAAAGAAACCAATCTGAAAGGGATACATACCGTGTAATTCCAACAATATGACATTCTGGAAAAAGCAAAACTATGGGGATGTTAAAGGATCAGTAGTTCCCAGAAGAAAGGGGAAAGAAAAGGATGCCACAGAGGGTTCCCAAGGCGGTAAAACACTCTGGCTGCTGTAATTACGGGTACATGTTGCTGAACGTTTGTCCAAACCCACAGAACACGCACCATCTAGAGTAACATAAACCATGGGTTTGGGTGATAATGCTATATGAAGACCTAAAAAACAAGATAAGGATCAATACACCTGCGTGGCTACAAACAGACCACACAGAATGAGGAGAGGGAGAGCGGAAAGACCACACAGGATGCAGCTGCGGTAACCCAGGCGGGAGAAGCGGTCAGACCTCTGACCACGGACACGGTCAGACCTTTGACCACAGACAGGTAAGACCCCAGGAGTTACTCAGACCACAGATGCTGTGAGACAAGGAATGGAAGAGAACTCCAAGGCTGCCGGCCTGAGTTTGCGGAAGCCTGGCGCTGTCGTCGATTCGAGGGAATGAGTACAGACAGAGCAGTGCGGAGAGAAAGATCGGAGTTTCCTTTAGGACAGACCACTTGTGAGAGGTATAGGCGTCGTCCACACAGAGACTGCAGAATGGATGCGTCAGGGCAGATACGACTCTGAGTCAACAGGTGGTTTATGAAACCGTGAACTGAATGAGTTTGCTAAGAAAGTGTGTGGATACAGAGAAAAGAAGACCTGAGCTCCAAGGTGGCCAATACGTCTGTGGTCAGAGATGCAGGAGAAACAGGAAAGGAAGCAAGGCAAGGTCGGAGAGAAAATGGCAAACTGAAAGCTAGTAAAAAGAAAGTGTTTCAAGGAAAAGGAGTGATCGCTTGTGTCACGTGACCTGCTGGTTCACGCAGATGCAGACAGCTCGGACCGCTGAACTGGACACCGTGCAGATCACTCTGACAAGAGCAACTCTGCTGAGGCAGGAATGGGAGAGCTGTACCAGAATGAGTTTAAGACTGCAAATAGCAGACGAACTGGAAAAAGCAAAGATTAGATGATTTTTTATTTTTTAAAAAGACATTTATTTTGAAAGCATTGAAGAGAAAGGGAGAGACAGAGAGATCTCCCATCTGCTGGTTCACTCCCCAGATAGCCCCAACAGCCAGGGCTGAGCCAGGCCAAAGCCAGGAGCCAGGAGCTTCATCCGGGTCTTCGTTGTTGGTGGTAGGGGCCCAAGCACTTGGGCAATCTTCCAGTGCTTTTCCCAGGCCATGAGAAGGGACCTGAATCAGAAGTGGAACAGCTGGGACACAAACTGGCTTCCAAATGGGATGCTGGTTTCACAGGCAGCGGTTTTACCAGCTATGCCACAACACTGACCCCTACATGATTTTTTTTTAAAGATTTACTTTATTTATTTGAAAAGCAGAGTTGGGGGGTAGGGGGGAGACAGCAAGAGAGAGATCTTCCATCTGCTGGTTCGCCTGGTTCACTCCCCAAATGGCTGTAAGAGCCAGGGCTCGCCCAGACCAAAGGCAAGAGCCAGAAGCTTCACCTGGGTCCTCCCATGTGGGTCAGGGGCCCAAGCACTCGGGCCATCCTCTGCTGCTTTTCCCAGGCCACTGGCAGGGAGCTGGATCAGAAGAGGAGCAGCCGAGACCTGAACCTACATTCATATGAGATGCAGGCATTGCAGGCGGTGGCTTTACCTGCTAGGTCACAGCACCAGCTCCCACCTACATGATTTTTTAATTTTGCTGAAAAGCAGAGCAAATAAATGGGAAGGTAGCTGTTAGAGGAAAAAAATAGTTCATTTTCTGAAGTTGGGGGAAAAGCATATTATACTGATAGAATATTATCCAGGAAAAAGGAAATTTTGACAAGTTACAAGAAAGAGAAAATCTTAAGACCTGTTTTTGAGTGGAACACAGAGAACAGGGCTCTGAGGAAGGATACAGAGTTCATCTAAAGTAACAGGCAGGCAGGCAGAACAGGGGGTACTGGTGGAGAAGCAGGTCTGGTGGAAATTCTCTTCTGATGGGTTTTACCTTCTCACTGGAGTAGACAGCAAGGAAAAGCTGAGAACAAAAGAAAAACAGCTGAAAAATGCCAAATGGCAGTTGTTTTCAACCCCAAGAGCGCGTCCACTGGCCGCACTATCAGCCTACAGCCACCAGATGGCGCTATGCTCATCTCTTGAAAAACAGTGCTGGTAGGTAACTGAAACACCGAGCCTCCCAGCCCCTCTTCACTCTGCTGCTCTGGGTCCATCTCCCTCTTGCTTCTTTGGAGCTTCCTTTCGCTTTTCCCTAACCTACATGCTTCCTCAGTCTCAAAATGGACAGAGAAAGAATCCTTATCACACATTTTTATAAACAAACCTCTCCCCATTCTCTTCCACGTCTCCTACTTGGAGAGTCACATACAAATAGTCTCGCCTTTGGCTTTCTGCCTGGTAGTACAGTGAAAACCTCATCAACGCACACATCGGGTGGAGGAGAAGGGGCTGGACCAACTGTGGGCCACAAACCAGTTTCATCTACTTTTTAAAAAAACTCTTCTTTGTCTTATTTGAGAAGCAGAGAAGAGATGAGAGAGAGAAAAACACTCTCATCTACTGGTTCACTCCTCAAATGCCCAACCCCATAAAACAATTTTAAATGATATGTGATATGTCTATAGAGTAATTTAAGTATTTCTTCATAAATATGTTTAAATCATTAAATACCTTAAAAAGATTAATTTTATGATGCAATAAATTATATCTCAAAAAGATGTTGCTTGTTGCTCTCAGAACAACATCCAAACTTCCCACCAAGACATGTGAAGCCCTCGGGCTCTTGTCCTGCCCAGTCTTGGGCCTGACCCCACTGCACACATCAGCTCCTAGCACTCTCTCTTACCTCTGGGCCACTATCAACTGCTTTCTCATTGTTTCAGATCCCACCTTAGACAATGTGGCCTTCTGGAAGTTCCTGGAGTACTTCCTTCCTAAAACTCCAGGCCAGGCCCTGTCTGCTGCATTGATCCTATCACAGCACCCAGCCCACTACATGATGTTTGATTAATCATCTTGTCTCTTCAGCTTTTTTTTCTTAATCACCATTGAATTCTCGCTCCCCAGCAGGAAGCCCAGCACACAAGAACGCTTAAAATTTGATGAATAAATGGCTGAGTGAACTTCCTAATTATTAAAAGGCCAGTCAGCCCTTCAGCACTGACCATTAACAGAGGATATCAAAAACAATGCAAATTGGCCGGCGCCGCGGCTCACTAGACTAATCCTCCACCTGAGGCACCGGCACACGGGGTTCTAGTCCCGGTCGCTCCTCTTCCAGCCCAGCTCTCTGCTGTGGCTCAGGAAGGCAGTGGAGGATGGCCCAAGTGCTTGGGCCCTGCACCCGCATGGGAGACCAGGAGAAGCACCTGGCTCCTGGCTTCGGATCAATGCATTGCGCCGGCCGCAGCGGCCGTTGGGGGGTGAACCAACGGAAAAGGAAGACCTTTCTCTCTCTCTCTCTCTCTCTCTCACTGTCCACTCTGCCTGTCAAATATATATATATATATATATATATATATATATATATAAAGGAATGACCTACTCATGGGTTACAAAGGAGAAAACAGTTGGCACGAGTGGCCACACACAGCAGAGAATACCAAGTCCTATAACGATGGCACTGAGTTGTCTCACTGAAGCCTTGAACCACTGGCACAGGGTCTCAATCAAAAACGCTGCCCCGGCCTGATGGATAACGTCCCTTCAAGCTTGTAGAGCTACGCATGGGAGCCAAACACAAGGTCCAAAACCCATACCACTCAGAGGCTGTCCAGCCCCAGCTACTCCAAGTGTCAGCGAAGAAGCAAATAGTATTTCTGGATCTTCCGCCACTGCTTAGAATTTGGACTTCAAGCCAAAGGGTAGTTAAAGATCATTTAGTCCACTGGCTTTCAGACTGGATTCGGGCAACTCCCTCGGGGTCATTTAGGGGAAAGAAAACAGGGGCGTTTGAGCAGGCAGAGACCCAGGCTCCTCACCCTGGTCAACCAAAGCAACTGATTTTAGCTGCTTCTTATATGGAGCCTGTTCCCCGCAGGACTATTTTAAAAGAAGTTCTATATCTTCTACTTAAAATAAAACCACCTATTTGGCCCAACTCCTTTATTCTAAAAATGAGGAAAGAGAGACTCAAGTATATACTGTATTTTCTCTCGCAATTTAGCAAAGCTGAGGACTTCTGTCTCCTGACTTCTCCCATCTTGCAAAATCACATCCTGCAAACTCTCGGGCATTTTTACAAAGTGAGGGGTTCTGAGCACTACTCTAATTGTATACAGACCAGTAACAACTAAGGAGTATAAAGGAACAAATAAGTACAACCGCCAATTAGTACTAACATACTCCAGACAATACAGTAAATATCTTAATTTAAAAAAAATGTAACTATCTTCTACACATGCTTTCCCAGGAATCTCAGATTCACTGTTACTTTAAATTTCTTAAGTGATTTCTCTGGGCTTTCCTTACCTGCACAAAGATATGGTAATCCCTTGGCATGCAGAGTGCTTAGCAGGATACACTGCACATTGTCCACAAATAGTAGCTATTACTATGATTCTACTCAGCCAGCACAATGTCCTTCTAAGGAAAAGACCCCTGATCTTGCTCAAGGTCACATAGCTAGTAAGGACAATCAAACAGTGAATCCAGGTCCACCTACTCCAAATAAATAAATAAATCTTTTAAAAAGATTTGAAAAGATTTGAGTGTTTTTTTTTTTTTTTAAGATTTGTTTATTTATTTGAAAGTTAGAGTTACACAGATAGAGAAGGAAAGGCAGGGGGAGGGAGAAAGAGAGGTCTTCCATCTGCTGGTTCACTCCCTAGATGGCCACAGCAGCCAGAGCTGCGCCAATCCCGAAGCCAGGAGCCAGGAGCTTCTTCCGGGTATTCCCATGCAGGTACAGCGGGCCCAAGGACTTGGGCCATCTTCCACTGCTTTCCCAGGCCACAGCAGAGAGCTGGATTGGAAGTGGGGCAGCCAGGACACAAACTGGTGCCCACATGGGATGTTGCACTGTAGGTGGTGGCTTTACCCACTACGCCACAGCACCGGGCCCTGAAAAGATTTGTTAAAAAGGCAGTTACAAAGAAAGAGGGGGAGAGACAGAGAGATCTTCCATCCGCTGGTTCACTCCCCAAATGGCTGCAAAAGCCAGGAACTTCTTCCGGGTCTCCCATGTGGGTGCAGAGGCCCAAGGACTCGGGCCATCTTCCAGTGCCTTCTCAGGCACACGAGCAAGGAGTTGGATCAGAAGTGGAGCAGCTGGGACTCAAACTGGCACCCACATGGGACGCCAGCACCACAGGCAGGGCCCTTGCCTGCTATGCCACAGCACCAGCCCCAATAAATAAATCTTTTTTAAAAATAAGAGTACTATAACATTTGGCTAAGTCATTGATCTTCTCTATACTTCAGTTCCTTCCCCTGGGGGAAAAAAAAAAAAAAGGAATATCAACCTGATCTACCTTATGCAATAAAGTCAGCAAGAGCACTTCGAAAAGTCCCACACATACCTAAGGTAAGTTTTCACCAGGCTGAATTCTCCTAAAATAAGCAACTAATTAAGATCATCCTTTCTACCCAAGTAAACAAGGAAACGTATTAAAAACAGGGTTAGAATGGCACCTGTGTCTGACCTTCCGGCCTTAAAAACAGCCAGAGAAAATGTTCGACTGCCATCCACAAAGGGAAGAGACAGACATCTCTCTTCCCAGGCTCTCTCTCCCTCGCTCCCTGGTAAGTATATATTCACCCAGGCAAAATTCATTTATTCAGCAGGTTTTATGAAGCATCTACGATGCACCTAGCATTTTGCCAAGTGTTAGGGAAATAATTAGGACCTGCCCCTTGCCATTAAGGAATCAGATATAACCAATTATAAAGTAATGATGAAGACGCCATCCCTGATCAGACTACCTAACACAGCACCCGCTCTCCTGCTCCCTTCTTACCCGGCTTGTTTCCCTAAGCACATTTTACCACCATCCATGTGGCTCAGAAGTGATTAACTGTGCCTGAGGGTGGCTTCTGGGAAGGACACGGTATTGAGCCTCAGAAAATCACAGAAAAAAGAGGAAGGACCGTGCCAGTGTGTAATGTCAGCTTCCCCTGCATCAGTGTCTAGCTCAGCTCCAATTCATACTAGGAAAATACAGCGCCTACTATTTCTAACTTGGGGCTCCTTTTTGCCAATACTCTTGAACCCAGTTCCAAGGGGCCCCATCCAGCATTCTGGAAACTGGCTCTTCTTCCTGTCCTGGCAGATCAGGAAGGTCTGAAATAGAACATAATCAAACCTGCCCTGCCCCTTCTCCCAACACAGCTGCCATGATTCACTTCCTGTTCCAAAGAGCCATTTAAAGCAGGGTCGGCAAACTTGTTCTTTAAAGTTTGATAGAATACATAAAATCATACAATTTAGCATAACAGTAAATATTTCAGGCTTTGTAGGAACTAAGTAAGGTCTTTGTCTTAACCCAACTCTGATCTTGTACATACACAATAAATACACCCATCTAAAGCAAATGAACACAGTTGGATTTCAGCTAAACTTTTACAAAAATGAGGTGGTGGGTATGCAGGCCAGAGTTTGCTAAGCCCTGATCTAAAGCAGACCTACCTGAAATTTTTTTTTTTAAAGATTTATTTACTTATTTGAGTGGCAGAGTTACAGAGAGGTCTTCCGTCAGCTGGTTCACTCTCCAAATGGCTGCAACGGATGGAGTGAACATGTTTTAATGTGTCCTCTGTTGTTAGGCATTTCAAACTGACCCTCTCATAAGAGAAACGCACCATCCTAAACTCTGCGGAGACTTCTATCACACTACTCACGATACCTGTTAGCTTCCTTAGGGTCTCCTACGTGGGTGCAGGGGGCCAAGCACTTGGGTCATCTTCCATGGTTTTCCCAGGCCATTAGGAGTGAGCTGGATCGTAAGTGGAGCAGTTGGGACTCAAACTGGTGCCCATATGGGATGCCAGTGCCACAGGCAAAGGCCTAACCTACTATCCCAC